TTCTAATTCTAAGGAAGAGTATTACACTATTATATAAGACAGAATTATTTTACAACTAGACTGGGCCAGCCCTATGCTTATTTCTGGGGTTGCCAGTCTAGTACTGGTTCTTTTACTTACTAATGTGAAACATTAGGAAAATATAATCACAAACAATGGGCACAGTCAGATACTCCATCTTTGTAGGTGCTAAGTGAAACAAGGCTATAGGATAGAAGACCAAATTTGGCAATAAAATCAGGACTTAAAAACATTCTGATATTTGATTAAAAGAAATAATTCAACAATTATACCATTCTGGAAAGAACTGTGACCTCCAGATAAACAAGAGGAGAAACAAAATGGACCCATGCTTAAATTCATTTTGCTATATAACCATACCAAAAAGGACTATTATTAAAACTTAATATGAAAAAGGAATAGGACAGAAAGATGATATCTATCTCACGGAGGTTACAACTATCAAGATTTTTGCTTGAAGCTATATATATAGATAGATAGATATAGCTGATAGATTATGTATCATTAGTGGTATCATCTATTAGGCACATACATAAGACTGTTACACTACTAGAGTTATACCCATAAAATTAAAAAAGAGAGACACAGATATAAAATTACCATACAAATACCTGACAACTGTGTTGGTGATGTTTCACCACCTGTTTAAGAAGGGTTATGAATTGGGGGAGGGAAGCTATGACTGGAGCAGAGAATGCTTTCTGTGGTAGAAATTAACTCACATCAGGGGTGAATCCAGACTACACAGAATCAAATAAGTCACAGTTATTTAAAATCTTTTAGAACCCTAGAGAGGAACTTTTTACATTCAGAATACTTAAAAATTTTTTCAGGAAGTCTGCATTTCTAGTATTCCGAATCTTATAACTAGGATTCTACACATTTTGGCAAACCATATGAGTGATACAGCCAGACACATGAATGGCTAAAATTCTGATAGCTGTTAAGTGGAAAATGCAGTGCATCACAAAGGATCACACTGAACTGATCTATAAAGGAATTTAAAATGCATAAATTAAAACATTTAATAGCTTTTGTGCATTTTGCTAATAGGGCAGGATTTAAATACAGAGCACTAATAAACAGACCATCTTGGAAGTTTTTGTTTGAAATAATGCAAGCAATATGAGATTTGGAAAAGCAGGTGTTTGTATAATCAGAGGGGAAAATACTTAAAGAAAGCATATTTAACAGTTAAGGTAGGTCAGTCGTGAGATTTCCAAGGTAATAACAGTATCTCAGTATCTTTGACTATTATTACCTATGCCATATTCAATTTTCTTCCAACTCAAATTGCATTAAAAAAATAAAAACCAAAGAGAAACAAAACATTTCTCAAGATAAACTGCTCATATATAATTTGATAACTGTTCTACAGTTGAAGTAATTTGATGACCAGATATTATTCTCATTCTTCTCTCATAATTTTGCAAGAAAATGTTTCAGTATTTATACACATTAAAGAATGGAAGTTCATCATTCTTTAAACTAGATCTATTATCCACAAAGGCACTTATGGTACAAGGAACACAATTCTGGAAATTTATCAGAAAAATAGAGAAACACTGCAAGCTGTAATTCAAAGCAGGATCCCATTTTTAATTTTCAGAACATACGTTTACCTTGAACATTCACTGATGTGTTAGGTTTTCCCTTTGACAGGTAACTACTTGTAAGCAGATTTTGTCTGATCTGCCAGCACCATCCCTTCTGCTTGGATGAACACAATCTAAAGCTATGTTTTATATATGGCAACAGAGAGGATATGCAATGATAGACACTCTAACAATATCAACAGAAGAACCCAAGAAGAAGAGTGGTTGGGATTATAAAAGTCATTTTGCTGGGGCGCCTGGGTGGCTCAGTTGTTAAGTGTCTGCCTGCCTTCAGCTCAGGTCATGATCCCAGGGTCCTGGGATCGAGCCCTGCCTCGGGCTCCCTGCTCGGCTGGAAGCCTACTTCTCCCTCTCCCACTCCCCCTACTTGTGTTCCCTCTCTTGCTGTGTCTCTCTCTGTCAAATAAATAATAAAAATCTTAAAAAAAAAAAAAGTCATTTTGCTAAAATTAATCATAAAGAGAATGTAAGAGAACAAAATTAGTCAATGGAGAATTCTAATCTCTATTTGTTCAAAATCTAATAAATCTAATACCTATCTTGTATCTAATGGTCACTCTAAGCACTATCAAAAAAAGAATGCAAGTTGTCAGGTCAGTCCTTGGGCCCCACTCCTTCTCCCCTTCAGCTCTCCTTTCATTTGTAAACATTTACCTAAGCACCAAGAGTGCTACCTCATTCCAGTTACTGAACAAGGTGCTGCAGATACAGATGAGTAAGGCAAAGTTTCTGCTAATAAGAAATTAACAGCTGAATGGTGGAAAGCAGGTTCAAAAATTAATTACTATACCACACATTAAATGCCATGACATCTATGTGCTCAGGTGTTACTGGGAACATGGAGTAAGAATATACTGGGTAGGAGTTGGAGTGGAAAATTGAAGGGAGGTGGTGGTAGTGGTAGTGGCAGAATACTTAACAAAGTCTTAAAAAATCCACAGGAGTCATTCATATGTAAGAGAGAGATTACAGGCAGAATGGTCAATATGAGCAAAAGCACAAAGAGGAAAAAACTGGAATGCATCAGGTAACCATAAAGTCTAATGTGGCTAGAACAATACATACAGGACTAGAAATAGTGGGACAGAAGGCTGGAGAAATTGGCCATGGTCAGATCAGGAGGGCCTGGGCTTTATTTTATAGGTAAATGGGAGTCAAAGGAGTGATATGATCAGATTTGATTTTCAGGTAGTTCACTATCACCTTCTAGGCAACGGAATCAAAGGAGTAATTGGTTTTCAGTTAATTCATTTTGGTGGTTGTGTGAAAAACAGACCTGGAAAGGACAAGATGAAAAGCAGAAATAACGGTTACATTTTTATTAATCTAAGTCTAAGATAATGAGGACTGCCAAGGCAATACTAAGAAAGACGAAAATAAAATCCAGGGATGAGAAATTTGGATGGGGGAAGGACAGACTCCTCTTAGCTCTCTAGCTCAGGTTCCTGTGTAGGTAGTGAATATTTTGGACAACTTTATACCAGTAAATTTGAAAAAGATAAAAACCATAATGAAGGAAACGGATTCAAAAAGAAAGGGAACCACAGAAAATCCTATAGTATTAAATACAATGAAGCAGTAGTTAGGGGCGCCTGGGTGGCACAGTCAGTTGAGTGTCCAAGTCTTGGTTTCAGCTCAGGTCATGCATGATCTCAGGGTCGTGGGATCAAGCCCTGAGGCAGGCTCCGTGCTCAGTGGGGAGTCTGCTTGGGATTCTCTCTTTCTCTCTCTCTCTCTCTCCTTCTGCCCCTTACCCACTCGTTCTTTCTCTCTCTCAAAAGTAAAATAAATAAATCTTTAAAAAAAAAGTAGTTAAAAAAATCTTCATGACTATCAGGTCCAGATTATTTTAATCACAAGTCCTACTAAAGGAGAACTTTGTTCTCCTTTTTCAAGATTGTTTTAGCTACTCAGGGTCCTCTGAGATTCCACATGAATTTTAGGATGGGTGTTTCTATTTCTCCAAAGAACTTTGTTGGGATTATGATAGTAATTTCACTGAAGCTGTACACTGCTTTGAGAAATATTATCACTTTAACAATATTAAGTCTTCCAATCCATGAACACAGAATATATCTTCATTTATTTAAATCTTTTAAAATTCCTTAAGCAATATTTTGTGTCTAGTGTACTTGTCTTAGTTTAGTGTACTGTTTAGTGTACAACTTTTTTACCTTGGTTAAATTTATTCCTAAGTATTTTATTCTTTTTGATGTTTATAATGGAATTGTTTTCTTAATTTTCTTTTTGAATTGTTCATGGTTAGCATGTAGAAATGCAACTGGTTTTTGTGTGTTCATTTTGTATCCTGCAACTTTGCTGTAAAAATATTCTTTTCATCAGGGCACCTGGCTGGCTCAGTGGGTTGGGCATCTGCCTCTGGTTCAGGTCATGATCTCAGGGTCTTGGGATTGAGCCCCATGGCAGGCTCCCCGCTCAGGAGGGAGTCTGCTTATCCCTCTCCCTCCACCTCTCCTCCCCACTTGTGCTCACCTGTGCGTTCTCTCTCTCTCTCAGATAAATAAAATCTTTAAAAACTATTCTTTTCATTTACTTAATACTTATTTTAAATGAATAAATTCACATGTTGATACATATGCATTTAAGTAGTAGAGATAGATTTAGTTGCCATGGCATTAATATCTGCTATACCATCTAAATAAATAAATATTTTTATTTGATGACTTTTAGAAGGAAGCCAAATGAGGAAGAAATATTTTCTTTATGCCTGGCCTTTTCAGCTTTTGTCATTTGTTGACCAACCTCTCCTCATTCCTTCCCTGAACCTTTTATCTTCTTTGGCCTTGCTCCAATTCTTCTATTTGTCTGACTACTCCTGTCCACTGGATCATTCTCCCACCTCCAATTTCCTGCTCAATTTGAACATGCCTAAGATTCTGTGCTCATTCCTGTTTTCTTCTCTGTGCATTCCCTTTCTTCAGATTCCTCACTTCCCAAAACTTCACTCATTTCCATTTGACTGACTCCCCTTAATAAGTACACAATAAGCAATACATATATGAAGAACTAAGAACCTCCATCAAACTCTACTAGTTCAGTGAGGAATGAACATTTTCTGGACCACTTCTGTTGGCAGTTAGATGAATTTACAGGGAGAAGTAGACAAAACTTTTTCTATCCACCCCTCCTTTTGTCAGGTAATATCTTTAAAGGAGTGGTTAAGCAGGGAGGGATAGCTTTCATTTTGTCTACCTTTATTTCTCTCTCCAGCATCATTAAAAAGAAAAGGACACATTCTATATATATCTCTCTCAACAATTCAAACACGGAATTTTTGAAAATATGTAATTATTTTAAAAAGAAAAAAACCCTGCAAAATGATTAATGTAAAAATCAACTCACCAATAATGCCGCTATCTCTGCTTTCAAGGGTAGAGGTTGGACTAGTTACAGCCCCATAGCTGCAATCCTTGGCAGTTGCATTTGAACTGACTGGCGGCAGGGTGGAGCAGGGGCTGCTGGCTGGTGGGGAGGCAGTGCTACTAGTCAAGGTGGAACAGGGACTTATCCGTTGCGTGATTGCTGAGGTCTGAAAAATTGGAATGAAAAACAAGATAAACTGATTGCTGTTAAAGTAAAATGTATCTTATGGCAAAACATATGCTTTGATGAGAAAAAGGACAAAATCTACATACATAGCTTTTACATCTACTAGGTACTAGTTGTTTTTTGCCTTCTAGGATAAGAGATTCTGCATCATACAATTAAGGTGCAACTTGATAAATTTAACACAAACAGAGACTGTGGCCAGTTTTTCCACCTAAGAAATTTCTAGTGACAAATATTCTTTATCACTGCCATGAATTCATAGAAGGATTTTTAATTAACTGCAAGTTGTCCTTGCTTTTTCCTATCAATAAAACTATTCTGAAGGCTTAGAACTTAGTCTTGTTAATACTTTTCTTTGGATTGAAAAAAAAATCTGCAGCCAAAGTGAAATAAAAATAAGGCTCTTAATGCAAATAAGCATTTTTTTCGATACATAGGTGGCTGCCCTGAGACATAAATGAATGCAGAGAAAATGCCTTATCCTAAAAGTCTATCTAAAAAATAGATCAAAAACAATGTTCATTTAAAGCAAAACTTAATAATTTCTCTGTAGAAACTGATTATAGGCTGAGATTTCTTTGTATCTTGAATGATTCTTATATCTGAGGTCACCTCAGTTTAGTTTTTGACAGGAAGGAATGAATAATCACCAAAAAGATTGGTGGCAATATATCCTGGCTTACCTAATTTAATGAAAATCCACTTTTCTTTAGCCCTTTCTACCTAAATAAATTGCCAAAATAATGAATAAAAGTATATATTTTTTCAAATACTAAAAAAATTTTATCCTTCTTAAAATGGTAAATGATCAGTAACAAAATTACTTGAAGGAAGAATAATGATATAATGGGTATTAAAGAGGGCACGTTCTGCATGGAGCACTGGGTGTTATACACAAACAATCATGGAACACTACATCAAAAACTAATGATGTTATGTAGGGTGATTAACATAACAATAAACAAACAAACAAATAAATAAAATAATAAAAGAAACCTTTCAACTTCTTTACCTACAGAGTCACTATTCACATTCTCTCCACTAAAATTGAAGATTTACATTTAACAACTTGACTGGAAAATGTGTTAATCACTAAATATGAGAAAATTAAGGCTCTTTTACTCATCCTAAAATAAGTTTTAGATACACTCCCTTGTATTTAATCACATGTGTTGAATCCAGGTTTTGATTTTAATTTAAATGCTATAACTAGGTCATAAAGGCTATATTCAACTTAAAGCACAAGTGACATTCTCAGAACCTTGCAATGAAGCAAATCTTTTCAACCACATTAATAATATTAGAAATTGATTTTTGTTAGTCATACCATAAGCCCTCTGATCTATGCCATTTCTCTTCTACCTACATTTTTTTCTCCAGAGGAGGGGGGAGTTTCAATTTCTTTGTAATCTCCTCTATTTTTATAAAATGATGTTGGCCTACCAAAGCAATGAGTTTTAACTGGGCATGTAGTAGAATCACCTATGGAATGTAAAAAAGCAAGCTCCCCAATGCAGAGCCCCACACCCCAGACTTACTGAATCAGAATCCTCCCTAGTTAGAATCTAACATGGCAATTTTTAACCTCCTCACTCTCAGTTTAAAAAAATATGTGGGTAGATGAAATGAACTATACTAGGGTTTTTTTTTTTTTTTACATTAAATATATCTATAGTCATTCCATATTGAAAAAGTTCCATTTTAGTATGAATCTGAATCTATTACTTCCATAGCAACTCATTTCCATTTTTAGACAAGATTCTCAGTCTGTTCTTTGAGAAAGGAAACTGTATTATATACATAATACAGCCAATGTGGAGGTTAAGCCCAAAAGACACTATTTTTACTACAAGTTGTTTTCTACAAAATAAAGCTTGTATCACAGAATGTATGCTTTAAAACCTTTAACTGTAAAAGCAAAGCTTAAAGATCAAGCCGTTTAGAAAGGAGAAATTTGCTCATGGCTTATCAATTAAAAAGCAGGCCTCCTCTTTATTTAAGGAAGCTAGTTAATGAGATATAGAAATCTCTTCTAGACACTGAAAGATAACATTAACCATTCTCCATGCTTTAAGCTAAAATGGACCTCTAATTAAACCACTCCGCGCTTAAAATCTTTCAGTGGTTTTTCCATTGTGTTCTCTGGAAGGATCCCAAAGGATCCTTCCTTGGGATCCTTCCAAAAGGTCTCTTAAAGGTTCTACAATTATACAAGGTAAGAACCTGATGATGGAATTCCTAAAGTATATCCTACCACTCCAGAAATTACTGAGTGAAGAAAATATAGTGGTTGGTTGAATATTACTTTCAGTACTTTGTCTTTTGTAGAAAAACGATACATGTGACTTGCCTGTGCTGGGTTCTGTCCTTTCTAGTATAATTCTGAGGATGCTATTACCCTCAGGCCTTCCTAAACAAAGAAATCTATCTTTGTTAGCATGCTGTTTAGTTCGGAAGAAAGTCACCAAATGAACATGACCTCCTAATTCTTAATAACCTAAGACTAGAAATTCCAATGATCAATTTAGTCACTTCCTTCTGTGGTTCCAAGATAGTTTCATGGTATATTATATTCCCAGAAGGCAATCATTAATAGTATTTTACATTTGTTCAATGCTTTACAGTTTAAAAAAATTTAATATTATTTCATTTACTCCTTTTCAACCAAGTATAAGGCAAAATGAGTATTATTTCCCCCATTAAGAAATGTGAATAAGAAACTGCCCTAAAGAATGAAAGCTATCAAATAATTTCCCCAAATCATAGTTCTTGCAATATATTTATATACTAATTATACTGCATAGTATTTTACACCTTTTATTTATATGGCATTTTACAGCTTACAAATCAATTTCATATTCCTGATTTACCTTGATCCTCACAACAATCCTGTCAGGTGTTACTATTTCATATTACACTGAAATGGTAAGGTGCAACTGTTAAGAACAGAGGTTGTAAAAGCAGACTGTCTAGATTTGAATACTATTCCATCACTTTGTGGCACTGTGTTTCCACTTTTTTATCTGAAATCTGGAATATCAGTGGACCCTACCACACTGGGGTAATAAGGAAGCTTAAGCAAAATAGTACAAATAAAACAATTAGTACAATGATTAGCATGTAGGAAGCATTTCATAAATGTCAGCTGTTATTACCTATGAAAAACCTAAAGCTCAGAGAGGTTAAGTGAATGTCTGATTTTACAAAGTCGTACGGGGTAGAATTGGAAGTAAGGCACAGATTTTCTACTTCCTGGTTCAGGGACTTTTCTCTTTCTTTCTTTTTTTTAATTGAAGTAGTTTATGTTATACTCTGCTCACCACAAATGTAAGTGACTTTTCTATTATTAGAAACAACAGGATCCTTGGCAAATACTCATACTGTAACATCATGTTCCTTGGTCATCACTAGAATAGTCACATTTTAACTTTACATGAATATTAAGAAATAAAAAGTAAAAAATAAAAATGGATGTTTTACTTATACCAATATCAAAAAGGCCCTCAGCATATATCATTCCCATTTTTTATTCACAGGGCATAGCATACCAACACAGTTACTGATTAAAAAAAAAAACCATCAATCCCTGCCATCATGAAGCTTACTCTCCCTTGTATGAGATACAGACAAGAAAACAAAAACAAAAACTCACAACTAAATATGGAGTGCAATAAATTAATGGTTAAGAGTTATAAAGGAAATAAAGCAGCAGTATAAGGGGTATAGAGGTGGGCAGTGGCTATTAGAAACAGCAGTTAAGGAAGGCTTCCCGGAACATCTGAGCAGAGCACTGAATGAAGTGAGCAAGTGAGTTATGCGGGAAGCGCTTTCCAGTACTAAAGGAATGTTCTGTGTCAGAGGAATGACAGGAAGGCCAGTGTCGCTGCAGAGCTGCAGGTGAAAGGGAGGCGGGTAGGCAGTGTAGGAGAGGTAGTAGCAAGGGGTCAGACCAGGCAGTGCCTTTCTGACCATGCTAAAGATTTCAGATTTAATTCTAAATGTGATGGGAAAACAGTGGAAGATTGAGAGCACAGAAGCAAAAAGATTGGATCCATATTTTACAAGGATCACTCTGGTTACTGTGTGAACAGACTACAGAGGAGCAAGAGTGGAAGCAGAGACCTATGAGGAGGCTATTTATTCATTCAGTAAATATTTACTGAGCACCTACCAATGCTAGACCCTATTCTAGATGCAGAGGATACAGCAGTAACGAGAACAGGCAAAAGTTGCAGGCCTTACAGTCCAGTAACCATTGCAGTAGCCCCGGCAAGAGAGGACAGTGACGTGGACTCAGGTGTAGCCGTGGAAGTAAAGAGAAGGGAGCAGATTCAGAATATATTTTGCAGACAAAGCCTATATGATTTGCTGAAAGAGTGAATGTGTAATCTGACAGAGAAAACTCAAGAATGGCTCCAACGCTTTTGTCCGAAGCATGAAGGTGATACAAACTACTCTGAGAGAACAGAAGGGGCAGGTTCTGGGAAAAAAATATAAGGCTTCAGTTTTTGACATGTTAGGTTTGAGCTGCATCTTGGACACACACGTAGCAAAGGGAGTAGCTGGAAATATACTGGAGTTCAGGGGAAAGGCAGGGCCAGAGGCAATTCAGGAGTTAAGAGTATTTAAAAAAAGAACGGAGGAGTTTCAATATGATTAGAATCTCCAGGCATCTGAATTTTATAAAAACTGCCCAGGTGATTATAATGTGCAGCCAGCAAAACCAATGACTGAGGGAATGAGGACGTAGAGAAGTCTCAGGAGAGAGCTCTAGAACACCTGAACATTATCCACATGATCTATAAATATATCCAAATAATCCTTGAAGACTATTATTTTATGACAAAACTAACATAGGATATAGAATCTTCACAAATATTTGTTAAGAATAGACAAAACGAACTCAAACTGTCATCTTCGAGAATAAAAGGATTCACTACAGGACATACATTTTAAAGATAAAGACCACACAAATGAATTTGAGTCTACTTCCTTTGCTACATTTAAACTAAAAAATAGCTAAAAGAAAAAAAAATCTATGAAAGAAAATTTTTTTCAAATTGCTGATAATTTTTAACTTTTTGACATGAATATTTAGATAATTAATTTTTCAGATTTTCATTTTTCTAATATATATATTCAAAACTAAAAATTTTGGGGGCGTTTGGGTGGCTCAGCCGGTTAAGCGTCTGCCTTCGGCTCACGTCATGATCCCGGGGTCCTGGGATTGAGCCCTGCATCGGGCTCCCTGCTCCAGGGGAAGCCTGCTTCTCCCTCTACCACTCTCCCTGCTTGTGTTCCCTCTCTCACTGTGTCTCTGTCAAATAAATAAAATCTTTAAAAAAAAAAAAAAACTAAAAATTTTTGAGTACCTCTTTAACTCTAAGTTTTATATACTACAAATACATACTATAAATTCTGTTATATTTCGTTATTATTTCAGTTTAAAATATTTTCTAATTTCTTGTGATTTCTTTTTTGACTGAAAGGCTATTTAGAAGTATATTAATAGCCAAACATTTGGGGGATTTTCTAAATTACCTTGTAGCTAACATTTTCAAGGTTATCATTTTGTAATTGATTAATTCTACTATGATCACAGTAATTGTAATCCGAAATTTACTGAGACCTGGTCAGCATATTGTCAATTTGGTAAATAATCCACATGTACTTGAAAATGATGTATATTCTATAATTTCTGGGTACAGTGCCCATATAAATGTCAATTCTGTTTCTTGGCTTATGCATTATTTACTTCCTCATTCATTCCGTAAAGGAATCAAAACTTTAAAGTGGCTTTTTAAACCTAAGAATGAAACTAAAAGGTGTTTCATAAACTAAAGAAATACAGTGATGATGGAAAATTAAGCTATATCTTCAGGCCTCAAAAGTTATTCAACAACTGGGATACGCACATACACACACCCTGCAAAATTTTTCCTGTATAATATAGGCTGATTTATTCCACGTTTCGCAGGTGACAGCAAGCAGTTTACCTGATTTTCATCCTGTACTTCCATGTTGTATTGGTCACCTGGCTGAACTTCCGTCACTTTCTCTCCAAGGAGGAAACCCAGACGAGTCATGAGTGTGTTTGCTGCTTCATCTACAGATGGAGGGGGACCAAGTTCCTGTTCAGCATCACCTATAACAGGCAGACATTGAAACACATGAATCTTTCAAAATAAAATGGCCTTGTCCTGCAACTATTCTTACATTGAATTTGGTCATTCCCTTCATTTTCATTCTAAATCCAAAATTACCAGATCCCTGCCTAGAAGCTGATTTTCCCACTTTTGCATATTATAATTGATATATCGTTTACTCGGATTATCCTCAATGTATCTACCTGAAACCTGGGTTTGAGAGAATGTTTGTAATTTACTGAATAGAAGATGTTTCCTATTTCTTTTGCAGTTAGGTTTCCAATTCAGTCCTAGTCTTGGGACATGGCTCCTGCCACAATCCCCACCTTCATTCAGGTTCTTTTATCTTTTTCTTTTCTCTTACAGTTTGTGTAAATATTCTTTTTTCAAAAGATTTTTTGTTTTTTGTTTTTTAAAGATTTTATTTATTTATTTGACAGAGAGAGACACAGCGAGAGAAGGAACACAAGCAGGGGGAGTGGGAGAGGGAGAAGCAGGCTTCCCGCCGAGCAGGGAGCCCGATGCGGGGCTCGATCCCAGGACCCTGGGATCATGACCCGAGCCAAAGGTAGATGCTTAACGGCTGAGCCACTCAGGTGCCCCTCTTTTTTCAAAAGATTTTGAAATTAGTTCAAACTTATAAAAAAGTTTCAAGAATAGTATAAAGTATAAAGAACATTTTTTTCCCTTAACCTTTGAAAGTATAAACATGATGTCCCATCATCCCCAGTTAGAGTCCTATAAACAAGGACATTCTCATACATAATGACAGCAACAGCACAGACCTCAGAAAACTAACATTTGGCATTATTATGATCACACCCACAGATCCCATTTAAGTTTTGCCCCAGTAATGTGCTTTCTAGTAAAAGGATCCATTTCAGGGTTAGGCAGTGCATTTCATTCTCAGTTCTCTTTTATCTCTTTTAATCTGGAACAGCTCATCAGTCTTTTCTTAACTTTCATGACCTTGACACTTCTGAAGATTATAGGCCAGTTGTTTTGCACAGTGTCCCTCAATTCGAATTTATCTCCTGTTACCTTATGATTTGACTTAGGTTATGCATTTTTGGCAGGACTATCACAAAAGTGATGCTGTTAACTTAGATCACTTTGTTATAGTAGTGTTTGCTAGATTTTGCGGCTCTAAAATTACACTTTTTCCCTTTGTAATTAATAAGTATGTTGTGGAGGGACATTTTGGGTCTACGTAAATACATCCTACTTCTCAACAAATTTTTAAATTAAAAAAATATGTTTGCAATAAAATATATATACCAAGATTTTCCATTTTAACATGTACAATTCTGTGGCATTAAGTTCATTCACAGTGTTGTATGGCCACTGCCACTGTCCATTTCCAGAACTTTTTCATCTTCCCCCAAAGAAACTCTGTACCCATTAAACAAAATCTTCCCATTCCCCCCTCTTACTAGCCCCAGCTAATCTCTATCCTATTTTCTCTATGAATTTGCCTATTCTCAGTACCATATACGTGGAACCACACAATATCTGTCTTTTTATGTCTTGCCTATCTGACTTTGCATGTTTTCAAGGGTCATCCATGTTGTAGCATGTATCAGAATTTCATTCCTTTTTATGAATAAATAATATTCCATTGTATGTATATTGCCATAGTTTATTCAACTGATGTTGCAGACTTGGGGGTTGTTTCCATCTGTTGGATATTATGAATAACGATAGTATGGACACTGTTAGTGTAAAAGTATCAGTCTGACTCTCTCCTCAATGAAATTTTGCCCACTGTCTTATAGCATTCACTAATGTTTCTTGGTTGAACTAATTACTACCATGCCAAATAGTGATTTTTCTAAACCCATCATTCTTTCTACAGCTTAGTTTCTTTTCCTTATCTATTTATCTGAACTCAGTGATTCCTATATATTCAATGAGTTATAATCTGTTACTATCATTATTTATGTTGTTGTTTCAACTGTCCCAGATTTGGCCAGGGTAAGCCCTTTCAGTTTGGCTCTTGTAACCTTCTGACACACCTGTGTCATCTTCTGAGCACTTCTTTTCTTTGGGAAAGTAAGAGATGTTCCAGGCTCATCTTTTACTTCCCCTGCCCTAGCCGTAGAATCAGATGCTTTTCCAAGAAGCCCTGGTTCTTTTTAGTGGGGAAAGGCATTTAGAATATCATATATGCTCACTGCTTTTAGGATGCTACTGTCCTCCAGGTCCACTGGGACAGAGGCAGGCAGTATAATCATGCACATACATACATGTATACATACATATAACAGTTACATATCCTTATATTCATTTTCATTTGTAAATCTGTACACAAACACACCCCCCAAAAGTTCCTGGTGATGCTCTAATTCCAATTTAGTACCATAAGGTTAATTCTAGGTTTTATTTTTCCCCAAACTTTTTTTTCCCAAAGTTGTAAACTTGTTCTCCAACAGTGAGACATCTCTCACTATCCTTACTTAATCCGTTCCACCTTCAAATACAATGTCACTGCTGCTCACTGCCACCTTGCACACAAACACTGTACTCCCCCTGCTTGGGGTCCTACCCCATGCCACATGAGCCCAACTAGCACTTCCCCCACAGTGAGGGTCATTTTTTTTTTTTTTTTTTTTAAAGAGAGAGCGAGCGTGCACACACATGAGAGTGGGGGATAGGGACAGAGGGAGAGAGAATCTCAAGCAGACTCCCCATTGAGCACAGAGACTGATGTGGGGCTCAATCCCACGACCCATGAGATCATGACCTGAGCCGAAATCAGAGTCAGATGCTTAACCAACTGAGCCACCCAGGTGCCCCAGGGTCATTTTTTAAAAATTGATATATAATTCACATACCATAAACTCTATCCTCCTTAAAGTGTATAATTCAGTGGCTTTTAGTATATTCATAAGGTTATGCAACCACCATCACTTTCTAATACCAGAATATTTTAATCACTCCAAAAAGAAACCCCATTAAAGTTCATTTTTGCCCTGAAATTTAGGACCCCCCCCCCCAAATTTCTGATCGCTGGTATTCATTTTAATCCTCTGTCTCCAGACTGCTACATTCTTTTCATACAATTTGCTTTTTAGGTTCTTTTTCTATTTAGGCTATTTTTCAGTGGTCACCAACTATAGGAATTAATTCTTTTTCAAATTCACTGAGGGATGCTAAACAAAGTCCGTATTAGGTTTTTCCTTGGACTCACCATCAAGATAAATTTCTTTCCAAATAGAGAATTTATAATTGCTTCTTAGCCTTTGGCTAAGATCAAGTGCAAATAGAGAACAAAAAGGAGTCAGGGAACGTAGTATGATCTACTCTAAATGTAATGTAGAAATAATTTATTTAAATTGCCTGTTTACAGTAACTTGATTCACGGTCAACATTTTTTCAGATTTTGTTTTCATTGAGATATATTTAGTCTAACTTTATAAAAATCCACAGTGGCACAGATCCTACAGGACATTACAAAAATCTTTTTTTTGGAGAGAGACATGTCCTGTCAACGCAGTAAGCATTAGCTATAATATCATATGGTTCGATGTCAAAATTTAATAGCTTCTTAAGTTTTTAGGATATTCAGTCTTAAACATTAAACCACTCCATGATGGCAAGAAAGTGTGATTTACATTGTTATTATTCAGTTTACATTTACATTTATATTATCTACTAAAGTTATAACCTAGGGGTCAGAGGAAGGGACTATATGTGTATTTTTGTACACTATTATTGAACTCAAGTGTCCCATCTGTAGAAAATCTATATAGAACTTTCATTGAATTTATGTCGGAGTAGAAAAACAGGCTCTATCTTCTTTTCCCTATGACCTCTCTGAGAGTCAACAAAAATAGATTTCTCTGCCGCAGAACAGATATAATAGAATCAATAGGGTTTTTTTTTTTAAGATTTTATTTTATTTATTTGACAGAGAGGGAGAGACAGCGAGAGAGGGAACACAAGCAGGGGGAGTGGGAGAGGGGGAAGCAGGCTTCCCGCGGAGCAGGGAGCCCGATGCGGGGCTCGATCCCAGGACCCTGGGATCATGACCTGAGCTGAAGGCAGAGGCTTAACGACTGAGCCACTCAGGCGCCCCAATAGGGTTATTTTTATTCACAAATATTTTTTAAGTTTACATGGTCCTTGCTGCCTCCCACCCCGAGAATGAAAGCTTCTTATTCCTTAATAAAAAGGTAACTGCTATATTCAAATTGATGAATTACCCTTTTCCTCTTCTATAGATTAAACTAGCTAAGGTTTTCCAAATTCTTCTTAGCATAGATTCCTGACCTCTAGATATTCTGAGGCTCCATTTCATTTTCTTCTAGGAGGCTATTCTGATAATTACCAAGTATTTTCTATGTACTAGGTACTATGAGGATTTATATAACGTGGAAGAGGTACAGTCATTGACTTTAAAAACTTTATAATCTGTGGAAAATAAGACATTAGATTATATGATTCATTTATTTAACATATGGTGCTTATTATGTACAAGTCATTGAACACTTTAATGGCAGAGCCAGGTTTAGAACCCAGGCTCCCTGCCTCCAGAATCAAGGCTCCCAACTAGTATGTTATACGGCTCCCTCACTGGAAAGTAATGTTATAAATAGTGAGAATGTCTACATAAGAGGCAACTTATTAACAGGCATATTGCTCATATGCGATATTGTGATATAATGAGAAATACACATCTGGTCCTTGTTCCCAGTTGTTGGAACAGGGTTCCTGAACTCTTAGAATTTCCTGAGTGACTGGTGAGAGAAGCATCTTTTGTTTTTCATAAGCCCTTTTGAGGTGACTCTTAGTGGGCCACTCAATAGGTGTGGGATGGAGGCTAGTTACCAGAGAACCAACCATGTTATTAGAAGGTTGGAACTTTCACCCCACTCCCCAACCTACAGGGAGGGGAAAAGGGGCTGAAGTTGAGTTAATCAGCCACGGTCAGTGACTAATCAATCATGCCTACATAATGGAACTTCCATGAAAATACTTAACAATAAGGTTTGGAGAG